CATCTCGGCATTCACGCTCCACAAACGGCTCCACACGGGCCGGAAACCGTTCACATGTTCCGTCTGTGGCCACGGCTTCTCCACGCTCCCGCAGCTCAAGCTGCATTCAAGGCTCCACGGCGAGCCGCCAGCCGCTCGCTGCCCGTGTTGCCAAGACACCTTCAAACACAAAACAGAGCTCCTCTGTCACCTTAAGGTCCACATGGATGAGGTAGAGAGGCTGCAGACGGAGCAGCGAGGAAGCAGGCGATCCCGCTCCTCTGTGGAGCAGGCGAAGACCTTCAGGTGTGCCGTTTGCTCCAAGGAGTTCACCGAGAAGCTCGCGTTTGAAAAACACCGACGGCTTCATGGCAAAAAGCCACGGAACTGCAGGAAAACGTTCAGAGACGCAACGAAGATTCATGGATTCCTGGTTTCCCGGGAGGGTGATTCGTCAATCCTCACTCCGGTGTTTTTTAAATGTCCCGTTTGCGAGCAGGTCCATCGCCATTGGTGCCACTATGTTCTGCATTTACAGTCCCACACCTCTGGGAGGTCCGACTGCTGTGACACGTGCAAACAGGAGTACAGCCAGGCGGCAGGAGCAAGACGGCACTGCCGGGTTTGCTGCAGAGCCAGCGGCCAGGAGGAGGCTTGTGGAGGTTCTCTGAAGGACATCTGGAAGGAGGGAGGCTCAGGGAGGAGAGACCAACACAATTCAGCTGGAGAGCAAGAAGGGCAGAAACCAGAACTCCCAGAACAAGTGTTTAATTGGAGCAGGTTTATACCCCCACCCTCACTGGTCGGCTCAAGCCTGTCACTGGTTGGAGACGGTGACCTCGATGTTCTCTCTCTGAGCTCAGGTTTCTCCTCTGAATCCGGCCCGGTCAGCCGGCTTCATCCCGAGCCTCCCAGAGTTAGCAGGAGATCCTGGTGTAGAAGCTGTGGCGGAGCGTCGTCTTACTGGAAGAAGCGTGGGCCGGCGTGGCGCCTCGGGCAGCGTTTCCGCTGCCGCCGCTGTGAGCTGGAGTTCCGCTTCCTGGGATCCTTCATGGATCACCTGCAGGAACACGAGCCTCAGATGCAGCACGCCTGTCCGTCCTGCAGCAGCACGTTTTCTGACGCGGCGAAGCTGAAGTCTCACATGTCCTCCCGACACAAAGAGCCAGACAGTTTGAAATGCGGAACGTGTGGAAAACTCTTCTCTGCAGTAAGGAAGCTGCAGCGACACAAGCTGCTCCATAAAGGCGGCGGCTCCCATGTCTGCCTGCCGTGCTGCCGCTCCTTTCCCTGCCACTCCGCCTTAAAGGCTCACCTAGAGACTCATCAGAGACGCCTGAGCGTACCGAAACCTGCACGCGTGGAGGAGCCATTCCTGTTCCCGTACCACTGCAGGAAATGCTCCGCCACGTTCTCCAGTGCAGATCTGCTGCAGGCGCATCAGGTTTTCCACTTCATAGCTGGAAGACCGCCGGAAAATCCCCTGGAAACCACCTTATCCTCGATCCCCGACATCCAGAGAGTTATGGCTCCGTCGTCGGGGCTGAAATGGCGGCTCCCAGTGATCTACAGGAAGGACCTGTTCAGGTATCCCAACCCGGACCACCTGTACGTCGTTCCCGCCGTCTCCTCGGAGCCGCCCAGCGTGGTTTCAGATGCAGAGGATTCTTCTCATGGAGAACTGACCTCTGCCGAACTTCAGCTCCAGCTGTTGGTTAAATCTTTGATCCCGGAGAAACGTCTGAGCGACAGCAGCGACTCTGAGAGCGAGCAAACCACACCTTACAGCTGCGCCATCTGCACCAAAACCTTCACAGACGTCCAGAATCTGCATGAACATTACAGGAGTCACGCCAGAGGGATGTGATGGACCAGAACCAGGGAGAAAACACAAACTTTAGACTTTTTAACCTCAGAAATAAGAATAAAAGAATCTGTTTTGCTGCCAGTAGCAAGAACCAACATGTTTTATACGGAGAGATTAAAACATTTTTAAATAGTGTTCATATGCAACAGGGGGGGGCAATTCCAATAACGGGGGTTCGGTATCCTGCAGCTTTCAGATCCATCCTTGGTTCGACACACCAGAATCAAATGGAGAGTTATAAAGAGTCAGAAAGGAGTCAAAATGTTTGTAAAAATCTTAGTTCAAACTTTAAAAAAAGAAGTTAAAACTGAAATAAATATAAGCTGATACTGAATGTCACATTTTTATTATCATTTATTTCCATTATTGCAGTTTTTAATTTTATATTTTTAGATTCAAAACAATTTTTTTTTTATTCCTTTTTCAGTTTCATGATTATTTTTTTTACACATTCAAATCAGTTTTTTTCATGTTTAAATTTTGACCCCAGTCTGACGGGAGTGGGTGGGGAAACTGAAAGTGATTGACAGCTTGCAGCAGCGCTGGTGAGGTGTCCCTTTCCATGTTGCATTCATGGACTGTGGGAACTCCAACTACTTGATGAACACATTCTGTGGAGCATTTCTTTGCCCTTTTTTGCAAAAATCCTGTAAAAAATTATTACATTAAAAACATTTACGCTGAAAATGTCTCTAATCATCATTCCAGAATGCGTTAAAATATATAAAAATAAACAGCTATTGTATAAACTGTACACTGCAAAAACAATCTAGAAATAAGTTGACTATTCATAAATTAAATGTATTTAGCCTTAATTTGAGTAGCTAAATAAGATGATTTGCCAATGGAATGAGTATTTTTACTCCTTAAATAATATAATTAGATAAGATGCACTAGAAATCAGACAATGCAATTGTTTTTTCTTGTTTTAAATGCTAATTGTCTTATTCCATTGGCAAAGTTTCTCACTTACCTCCTTAAATCAAGAAAAATGTAACTTATTTTAAGAAAAAATGACTTATTTAGATTCAATTTCTTCCAGTGTAAAATTGTCCGGTGACCGCAAAGTAAATTCTGTGGGAAAGTTTTGCGGTTGCGAATAAATGCTCCACAGAATGTCACTCAAGTAGCTGGATGCCCACAGTCCATGAATGCAACATGGATTACAAACATTTTGGCCCGTTTCTGACTCCATATTACCTCCTCAGTTCCTCCAGATTCTTTTTAATCATCCAATTATTTGATTCAGCTGTGTTGAACCAAGGCACTGCTGATATACAACATTGTGTCACATATTCTTGTTTATTTAAAAAAGTTTTTCTTGGATTTTTATATTTTTAAACGCAGTTCCATATCCATGGGGAAAGTTTAGTTTTGGTTCATTTTTTTTCACATACGTATATTATTTGTATTTTTTTCCTCTCCTGTTGTCTGTGAGGTCATCTGACAATGTAGAAATAAACGTTTTAGAAAGCTTCGTTGTGTCAAGTCTTGATATCATCTAAAGCCATTAATGTGAGCCATTTTGTAAAGTTGCGGATTGTTTGAATATTACACAAATGTAAAATGGTGTCAAAAGTATTAGAATTTATTTCTTCAGAAGTATAAATCGTTTTTTTATAATTTAGAGGATCAACTTACGTTTTTTTGTCAAGTAACAGCGTAAAAGTAACATTCATAAAAGTAAAAGTATAAAAGTAGAAGTCATGCAGGAAAAAATGTTACGATGCTTTTAACCTCATAGTG